ATAAAGAAAACATCTGCAACGACTATTTATTTATTCATATTCAAAAAACAAACAATAGTTTTTAGTTTGTGGTAGCTATCAAGAGCAAATTTAATAAAAATATAAAGATGGAAATTTTCCACAATGTGCGAAAATCTGGGCTAAAAATGATGGACTCGATTTCACTCAAAAATATGACATAAAAATAGCGTCAAGTAGATTGATACTATACCGAAAAAAGTGTGCAATATTCTACCAGTGGTTTCTAGAGCTTGAAATAGGAAGAAAAGTTTATATAAACATAGGTCGACAAACGTCCCCTAAGTGCGCTAGGGTCTTTTAAAGGGGCTCCCCTGGAAATGGTTTTCCTTAATATTTCCGAAACATGTTTGAGATAAAGACATAAAATTTGGTATTCTAGCCTAGGTGCTGGATTTAAAAATATTAACAATTTTAGACAGTTTTGTTTCTAAGCGTATGTAACAGGGACGGACTCAGGTTATTTGAGCTCCAACATTTTTGTGTGATTCTATTTTTGAAATTCAATTTTAGAATTTGAAAATCTAGGGTTTTCTACATAAAAAAGGTACTCTTATTGAATATCGATAAATTGTGCCATTTTGGAATAAAATCAAACTAAAAAGTTCGTCACATGATAGGAAATGTACTACGAATTTAAATGAATTGTTGAATAATTAGCCATGGCAACGAAAAAACTAATTTAATAATTGGTAAATATTACATAAATACATATTTATATTGCAACATAGCTAACATTTAGGCGAAAACAAAAGAAATAAGTTTTTTCGAACGAAATTGAAATTTGTTTAAAAAAGAAGACATACAGTTGGATATACTTAAAACTAGCTTTACAATAAGTGTTCAAATAAATTCCCATTTTGTTGGATACAGAGTCTCGCTCGACGAACTAATGATTCCTTAGCCCGAAAAGTGAAAAACCTTTTCCTTCTTATTTCATTTGCAGCCTGATGGATTCTTTGAAGTAAATCTTCTTGATTATTTACTTCACTCGAGTAAACTAGGTCTTTTAATGACCCACAAAAATAGAAATCCAATGGATTTAGGTCAGGTGAACGTGGCGGCCATGCTATAGGACCTCCTCGGCCTAACCACTCGTCTGGAAAATTGATATTCAACCAATTTCGAACATTGCGTCCAAAATGTGCAGGTGCGCCATCATATTTTCTTGAAACTGCTGGTGCACATCCAATGGTATTATATCCAAGAGCTCATTCTGAAGAAAGTTCAGATACACCTCTGAATTAAGACGATTGGGAAGTAGGCCCAATTACTTGATCCCCAATTACTCCTGCCCATAAGTTCAATGAAAATCTATGTTGGAAATTTCTACGGCGAACAAGTTTTGGATTTTCATCTGATCAGTGATGCATGTTATGGAAATTAAAAGCACCAGTACTAGTAAATATTGACTCATCGGACCATAATATTCTAGGAATAGTGTTTTCATTTGCTAATATCCACTGGCAAAACTCGATTCGTGGTAAAAAAATCTGCTTCCGTTAAATGCTGCACCCGTTTAAAATAGTAAGGATGTAATCCTTGCATTCTTGTCATTCTTCCTATCTAAAATTATTATTTTTAGGATAACTATCAAATAGGTATTCATAAATTTTTCTTACTATTGATCGAGGGATATCCATATTTTCTGAAACATTTCGTACGCTTATTTGCGGATTATTTTCAAACATATTTAAAGCAATATACATACGATGATTTCCCAGTGGCCTTTCTGTGTCCTGCATGCGCTGAAAACTTCCATGGTTTGACAAATTCCGGTGAATATCAGTAAACATTCGACGTTCAGGTACTATGCGATTGGGAAATTCTTTGATATTCTCTTACGGCTGTCAATGAACTGCCATTGCAAAACCCGTACACACAATGTATGTCAGTCAGTTCTCTGTCTATAAATCTTGGCATTCTAATTCGATTTAATAAAAAAATTGATTTTAATCTAATAATTTTATACTGCGAACAATGTCAGCTTAACGTCAAAATAAGTCATAACAAATCAAAACAACTTTTGTTTGCAGTCATGGCTAACTATGTATAATTAACAATTCATTTAAATTCGCAGTACATTTCCTATCATGTGACAAATTTTTAGTTTAATTTTATTCAAAAATGGCACAATTTATCGATATTCAATAAGAGTACCTTTTTTATGTAGAAAACCCTAAATTTTCAAATTCTAAAATTGAATTTCGAAAATAGAATAACCACAAATTTTTGGGGCTAAAATAACCTGAGTCCGTCCCTGTTTCATACGCTTCCAAACAAAACTGTCTAGAAATGTTAATATTTTTGAATCCAGCATAAAAAACTAGGCTAGAATACCAAATTTTATGTCTTTATCTCAACACGTTCCGGAAATATTATATATATATATATATATATATATATATATATACATAGGTCAGACCTCCAGATCTCTTAAAGGAAGGATTACATCACACAAAAGTGATGCTAGGCTACATCCTGAAAGATGCGCTCTAGCATCTCATGTTAACACAACAGGGCATTCTATGAATTACACAAGTATCAAAGTTCTTGATAAAGAAAAACACCTTTCCAAACGTTTATTCCTGGAAATGTCCCACATTTTCATGAATAACAACTGTATCAACAAAAAGACAGATGTTAAACAACTGAGTGTCATTTACTCATATTTGCTAAACTGCGAAAAATTGGAGAACTTACATATCTCCCCAAATTTCAACTCTTCACAACCATAATTAGAATCTGTGTTTTGGCCGTTTCCACCAGTAAAATTCATTCCACTCAAAATATAATAATTCTCTCCTCACGATTTATTAATAATTGTTAAATTAAAATTCCCATTAATAATAATATAGTTTATTCAACTGCCTCTGGTCGGTTTAACAAATTCTAACATAAAATTCTAAAAATCTCATCATCTGAAGTGATTTGGCAACGTTTTAGCACACGCCCACAATTCGTTCCATCTTTCAATACTGACATTGACATCCTTCGGCCTTCTGTCAAAGGGTTTCATGTCACTCATCAATTCATCATTCCATGACCACTAATTTGTGCAATCATCAGGTGGTTTCACGATGTAATGTGTAAATTTTTAAATAATTTTTAATCTGTTTTTAACTTGTTCTTGTCATGTTTTGTATAAATTTTGACTATTGTGCAATCTATTCAGCTCTCACCATGTTACTGGACGTTTCCCTCATCCTATACGTAAACAACAATTAGCAACATCCTCACATACTACTGTAAGTTGAGTCAATTTAAATTCATTTTACACCTTTGTTGCTACTGTTATCATTGTAATTGCAGCTCCTGATGATGATGGCAAAGTCCATTGAAAGCTAGAGAGAATTAAAAAAAGTATAAAGAGTCCTCTTTGCTTAAATCTTGTCGAAGTACCCAACAAAGGCGGAAGCTTTAATTTTTCACCTATATATATATATATAAAAACCATCTTCAGGGGAGCCCCTTTAAAAGGCCGTTGCGCCCTTAGGGGACGTTTGTCGACCTATGTTTATATAAACTTTTCTTCCTATTTTAAGATCTAGAAACCGCTGGTAGAATATTGCACACTTTTTTCGGGACACCCTGTATAAACGATTGCCAAGTTATTCCGAATTAAGAGCACATTATAACTCGGACTTTTATTATTTAATTTTCCCGTTGTTGTTGGGATATGAAGTTTCTTAATGTCTTTGACTAATACTGAAAACGTTACATTACCCCCTAAAGCGCCCAACCCCAAAAGCGAATTAAAAGCGATTTTTTTTCGTGTTTTTACCACTAGCTCTGCACCACTAGAACGATTTTCAAAAACTGCAAAGCTTTTTCATCCTTGGCACAGTAGCAATTTTCTCAAGTTATAGGCGGTTATAAAATTAGCGGACATACCGACAGACGGACAGACCGACGGAAATGAGTGACATCGGTTTAGAAAAGGTGACTGTACACAACTACTGATTAACGTTGATCAAAACTGGTCACTTTTTCTCCAATAATGGACGTTCATTTTCATTAGTATAGTATTAATTTAGTTTCAGATTAGCTGTACTAGCATCATCGTTCCAGTGATGTAAACTAAGGGCTGTATCGTCAGTTGTTCCTAAAATTGTATGGCCTTCTTGATTTTCATAGTCTTTCCTCTTTTTCCGAAAGGCTGGCATATCTCTAGATTTCTACTGTTCCGTGTCAGCATCAGCGCTCTCCTATTGTCAGGCTATGTTTTTTTTCTTGAATTGTAGGAAATTTCAGGCTATATAACATATGATATAAATCACAAAAATGAACAACTTGATGCAAATTGATATTTGTAACATAACCTCCTAAAAGGGCGCTGACATGGAAGAGTAGAAAACTATGAAAATCAACGAGGCCATAAAGGCGACCTACAATTGTAGGACTTTAGTGATTAAATTCACAATTACTTTATGTGCGAGG